TGAAAATTGTTAATGTCTTCAGCATTTTTTTGCCAATTATTATTACTAAATTGTAAGATAGTTAGATATATGTATTCTTTCAAAAGTTACAGTGCAAAATCTTGGGAATACCACATAGGGCCATATTATGAATAACTACTTTTATCAAAAGAGTCATGTCATTGAAAAAGAGAAGGGTACTTTAAAAATATAGCAAATTTAGCTGGAAAACTCCAGTAAGCCAGGCACCACAGAGATGGGTAGCATTTGGGCATTGTTAATTTGTTGATGTGGGATTAGCATATGTGAAAACAGAATTTAAATGTTCATAGAATAATTAAAAATCTTGGAGAGTTGTTATGCAAAGAATTAATCACGATACAGTGTTGATCACTGTGGTACAAATACATTGCTGATTTTTGGTACATGAATTCATTTCTTTCTGTGTAAGGCAGTTAAATACAGATTTAACTTCTATTGTGGAAGGTAAAAAAAAAAAAAGGCATCAAAGTACATTAAATGGAAGTTTAGTGAGGCACATTTGGGTTTGGAACAAGAATTCCAGTAGTCTGGTAGCATTTCTTAATCATGTTTTATCTTCAAGTTCTCAGGAAAAGTTAGTGTGTAATTTTAACCACATTTTAAGGTTACCTTTTTAGATCTTTTTATTTAATTTAATTTGTGTAGGGATGTTTGGATTAGAACATGTTTGGCAGCACAGATTTTTTTTTTTCAAGATATAAATTATATTTTCAATAGGATTAAAGGAGGTTTACTTGTAATAAATGAAGCTAAGAAGCTTCAACTTTCAGCAGATTTAAAACTACCCCAGATCCAAGTAGTTTTTATGTACAAAAAGTTTCCCATGAGGCTTTAATAAAATCAAGCCAAAAATGTGTACATATGGTATACAGATGGTACTGGAATGTATTGTTGTTCTTCCTGTAGTGGTTTTAATTAAAAAAAAAAAAGTCAGGATTTTTCATCCCTTAAATACATGGTCTCAAAAGAATTAATGAATAAATAATGCATTCCTAATAAAGGGAATGATGAGTGGTCAGTAGATTTGGAAGGCAAGAAGTAAATGCTTTCATGTGCTCTGTGACATAAGCTTGGGTCTGACTCTTTAACCGTGAAGACAACCGTGTCAATAGTTTTGAAGTTACATATTCGCCCTGATTTTGTGGTATCCCGCAAACAAGATGGTATTGTATTATTATGTCATTCAGAAAAGGAAATATTTTTTTCCCTTTTTTTTTATTTGTTAGATGTATTTGAAGATTACGCATCCACTACAACAGCAGCACAGAATCTTCTTTATACTGCTGCGAAGAAAAGAAAAGAGGTATGGAACTAGTGGGTTTTAATTATTTGAAGTTTCCTTAATAATGTCATTTTCCCTTAAATTTGAAGATGCTACAGGAAGCTAGTCTTGAAAAATCTACTTGCTAATGCATAGTCAAATGCTTTCCTGGCTGAGTGCTGTCAGTTTTCGGAGAATTAAAACATGTGTGTATGTATAAATAAATAAATAAGTGGATTCCTCTTGCAGCTTTAAAATTAACCTGCTGGATATGAACTGAGTTGGAATAGATGTACTGGTATTTTCCCAGGTTTACTAACAGCCTCTGTCATGGCTGTTCTGAGCTTCCCAAACTGTAGCAGGGGGAAAAGTGAACCTGATCCTTATTAATTTTCACTGATGCTGTTTAAAATCCTGTTGACAGCAACGAAATTAGCAAGAATGAAACCAATTTCATACAGCTGCTCTTTAAATGAGGACATAACTTTTCTGTAGATCTTTCTATACTTAGAGTCATCTGTGCAAAAGTACTCAGCCAAGCCCTGGAAAGCACATGTCAGTTTGCTAAAGCTGCGAACTTTTTTCTGGGTACCATTTTAACATCCAGTAAACATGGAGCTCTGTTTCCAGATGGATTTTCAGAGAAGAGCGTAGTCTTTACGTCAGGTGGAATAGCCTATGACCTTTCTACTTCTTTATTGTCAAAACAGTCCTTGCCCACTGACCTTCTGATTTTCATAATTTGTACTGAGACCATCAAAATGTCATAATATTTGAAAAGCATATAATGGGTGTGGAAATGACGTTAAACAATTGGTTTTGCCAAGAAACCTTTCTAAGTCTAGTCAACTTCAGAAGTTACTGCCAAAATCAATAGATTAAAATAAATTTATGAGGTTTTAGTCCAAGCTGTTCTTGAATATGTATATGTTCATACATATATGTACACATGCATATGTATTTATATATGTGTGAGACAAGCCAGAAAAGAAGCTAAGGGAAAAAAATGGGTGAGGTACTGTTTGAGCCTCTTGCCTTTTCATCGCTTTTTTTGGTTTGCCTCAGGACAACAACAGAAATACCTTATGCACTATTGCTAATGTGAAATTTCAAGGAGATTAATTTAATTTTGACAAGTTTGGCTGAAAAGTTGAAAAAGGAAAAATTTTGATCATGGAAAGATGCTACACATAGTATCTCACAGTTGCTTTGGCGAAGATAAAATTTCTACTTAAAGTCATATGAATTTTTTAACTTAAACAATGCTATTAAAATAATTTTACAAAAGGAGATTGTGTGTTCTCTGTCTTGCATAGGTATTACCAAAAATGATGGCATATTGCTACCAGATTCTGACAGAGCCAAACATTGATCCAAGGAAAAAAGATGGAGCTTTGCATGTTATAGGATCCCTAGCAGATATTTTACTGAAGGTAAGTGGGTAAAGAAGTGAAAAAGGTTTGTAATTCTTATTATCAACTGCCATTTTCAATAAAAAAGTCTTAGCTTATAAAGTATGGCTAACCCTTAGTCATATTTATAAAGTCTGTAGACAGATTGCACTGTGCAATAAGAATCTGAGGGTTTATTTCTTTAAAAATATTAACATTCCTTCCTGTTTTTTATATTCCCATTTTATAGGCAGATTTTTCTTCTCAAAGCTTCTCCAAAGCTCTGTTTGTTTGCTACAGAACAGTCCCTTGGTCCTCTCCTGCTTTACTAGTAAAATGGAAGGGTGTTAAAAAAGCGAACATGCACTCCATCAATAACATTGCCTATGATTCTTTAGCAAACACCGCAACAGCCTGTGCTATTGTGGGCTGCTTCTGGTTCCAGAAAAATGTTTACTTAACATGTTACAGGAATGTTTTCTCTAGCTTTCCAGCTTTCTTACCCTGCAGCGTGTGGCTTTAAGTCTTATTTCATCAGCCAGTTGGGAGTTTTGAAAATAACTGGAAGGAGCACAGAGTTTCTATCCTTCCTGCATTTTTATAGACAGTATCTTCAGAATTTTGAGTATTTGTCTGGAATTTGTATACACATTTAATCCACACTGTTGCTCCCTAATGTAATATTGATTACAGTTTCCCTTACGCTTTTGTAGATGGTGGAGTGCAAAGTATGCCCTCTTTCCATGTCAAAAGTAACTGCCAAAAAGTTATCACTTTTAGCATTAGAATCGTAGCCTTGTGCTGGAGGTTTCCGTTTAAAAGTTATTTTATTTTATGTGAGTTGTCTCTCTGTGCAGGATGTGTCTTCAGGTTACGAGCAACATCTTACCAACATTTACCATCTGTTTTTTAGCAATGTACCAATCCATGATCTGATCTGAAATCCTGAAACATCAGTAACTTTTGCAGAATTTGTGTAGATTGTGTTGGATTGTAAATGCCCTCCCTGGTGCTGGAGTATAACAGTGAAAGAGGAAGACGTTGGTTGTGTTGTGAGGAGACTTTCATATTGACTGGGGGTTTCTAAACCCATTTATCTCTGTCCTGAGGAAAAAAAGGGATTTATTCCAGTGTACTGCTCCTATTTGAAATTTTCAGTCTTGAAACATGAGGTTATAGTATACTTTATAAAAAAGTAATAATCCCCGAACACTGCAGACTCCTCTCAACTCTGAATTTCTTGTGTTTGGGATTTGGCAGATTGAAAAATTCCGTGAACTGTTTCTGCATAAAATACTTGATTTGTAAGTGCTTTCTGGCTGGTGAGCTGACTGAGATATCGATTCTAAGGAGCTTGTAGACACAATGACCCTGCCATAGCCACCTGGCTCGCCACAGCAGCTCCAGTTTAAATGCATGCAAACCTCTGACCTGTGTGCACAAGAGAAAATTCTTTTCCCTTCTCTGTGTTTTTTCTCTGCTTAGTTCTTCATCTGCCTCTCTGAAAGGTTGGGGAATCAGTGGGGGGAAAAAATGGTGTATGCATTGGTGAAGTAGAAGTGTGATCACCTAAGATACATTTTGTATTGAATGTCCCCTTTCACCCTCTTTGTATCTTAGCCACTGAATCACTCCTTCAGATGGTAACACAGTCCCTGGCATATATCTTTTCTAGTATCCTGGAGTTATAGGTGCTAGGAAAGTCCCATGTCTCTGTGCTGGTGGTCCTGGATTCCTGTGAATATCTTGGGATTTGCCAAGGTTGGAATAATGAGGCATAATTTTCATTGAATATCCTTCTCCAGCCAAAGAGTTTTCTATCACAAAGGAATTATCTTAGTCCATTAATAAGCACGAGAAAAAGATGTGAGTTATGCTGTAGTGTGTAAAATAATTAGTTTTGATGCTTATAGTAACAGCGGGTCATTTGAAACTCAGGTCTGTTTCATACTAAGCTTATATTTATCTTCAGGTATGTATGTACTCCTTTGTAGGAAGAATGGAGGTACTAGGTTATTGATCCTCATTAATTTTTAAGAAAAATCAGCTGGAACCAATTGCTTTCAAGAAAATGAAAATTCTAGTTTACAGTATTGTAACGAATAACGTAGAGTTGAATATTATATGTGCAGTTCTTTCACTTATCTGGCTTTGAGCTTACTATGCTTATGAGGTTTGTTCACTTCAAGGTACAAGATCCAGATCTCTTCATGAGAGAATACCTTTATTATATAGACAAACCAGTGTATTCCCCATGGTTGGTGGTTGAAATGGATTACTGGCTAGAATGAAGTATGTAAAATGAATGGTCTCCAAAATGAATCTTTATTTATACCAACAGAAGAGTGTCTTCAAGGATCAAATGGAGCTGATGTTACAGAATCACGTATTTCCATTGTTCATGTCTAACCTGGGGTACCTCAGAGCGAGAGTAAGTTCACCAGTTATACCAACTTCAGTATTTACCATGATTCTTTCCTTTGCAGTTTGACTTTATTCTGAATGCTAATGAAAGAAATAAAGCAAATGCATAGTAAAATTTGAAATAACGACCTTGTACAGTAATTTTTCAGCATTTTGATTTAAAAAAAGATTTGTCAGTTAAATGAATTGATGGAAGGTCTGTGTTGTATTATTGTTTGCCTCTTCGATCAGACTGGAGCATTTGAGCAGTGGCTGTGGCCCTTTTGAGACCATTTTGCATTAGCAGATCTCAGTAACTAGAGTGGCTGGATGGCTGTGAAGAATAGGTAGGATTTCCACAGAAGAGATAATGTCAGTTTGAGTGTAGCTTGAAGAAAATCCCTGAATGCCCACATCAGTCATAAACAAACAGTTAATTTTCTTTAGTTTCTGTTCTGATTTTTTCCCCTAGAAGGACCAAAACTATGAATACCAATTATGTGCATACTGAATTTATTGGAATTTGGGAAAGGAAAATAAAGAACTGCTTGAGTGCAAAAACTGTGTTACATTTACTGTATGAATACACCATAATTAGGGGAAAAAAAAGCAATACATGCAAACAGAGAGATAGTAGCGTTGTTTTTGAATCAGTAAAAAAATGCTAAAAATTGCAATAGTCCCTAACTTGCTTTTCTTTTTGTCATGCAGTCCTGTTGGGTACTTCATTCATTCAGTGCTTTGAAATTTCACAATGAGCTAAACTTGAGGAATGCAGTAGAGTTGGCAAAGAAGAGCTTGATTGATGATAAGGAAATGCCTGTCAAAGTAGAAGCAGCCATAGCTCTTCAGACTTTAATAAGCAACCAAGAGCAAGGTATGCTACAGTGATTCATCAGCTGTATACAATGATTTTTTTTTTTTTTTTTTGGTAGAGATGATGAGGTTGGTGCAGATTTATCTATCTAAACATTTCTACCTTTAAAGACATAGATTTCAGAACATTTCATCACGTTTAGACAGCTTCACTTGCTCATCAGTTACTGTAGACATCCCAGAACTCTGACTTCAAGGGTTTACGGCAGATCTCTGCATGAAAGAAGTTAGAATCAACATACTTCTTTTAATAAAGTAAATAACACCTGCCTCTGTTTTTCTTTAGTGAAGTGTGTACATTTAAGAACGAATGCTGCCTATGTATGAGGGCATGTATTCCCCCAAAACAGTGGGTTTTTCTTGTAGATGCCGTTTCAGTATCAAACGTGGTAAATGTACAGTTTATTTGCATTGTTAGTCTACTAGCTATGGGCTGTAAAAGTGCCTTGGGTAGGTTTATTGGCTTTTTTTTTTTTCCTGGTGAATTGACTTTAAAAAAGTATTTTTTTCAAGAGTAATCAGTTACCTAGTAGTTTTGAGATACTGTGTATTTGTGTTTATGGATAGTTGATTTCACCTAGTTTCAATTGTTTTTTTAGCCAAGGAATATGTGAAGCCTTATGTAAGGCCAGTTATGCAAGAGCTCTTGCACATTGTTAGAGAGACGGAAAATGATGATCTTACTAATGTAATCCAGAAGATGATCTGTGAGTACAGTCAGGAAGTAGCTACTATCGCCGTTGACATGACTCAACACCTGGTAAGAGACAATAGTAAAATAACAATCCAGTCAGAAGCACATGGCTAGTTGGGTAAACGTTAATGAACTTACTTGGAAGTGCACACTGTTTAAAGTAATCTTTATAATGGTCCACCTATAGTATTCACAATATTTCTTTTTTTGTACGAAGCATCTTTAAAACCTATAGGTTTTTCAAAGATACTGAATTTTGTCACTGGTTTTAATGAGCCGTGCTCTAACTATTTAACATTTCAAATGACTTAACATAGCCAGACTTCCAAAAAAGAGGAGTTTTTAATGTTCTATATTCCCATTTCAAAAGTAAGGAGCATATTTTTCAGTGCTGACAGCTCTTAGAGATAAGGCATTGCTGCTGTTGCATTAGCTGTCTTGGTTTTGCATGACAAATTAGAAATGTGAGTTTGCTCTTGAATGTCAAGTTGGTTGTTTTTTTTCATAGGCTGAAATATTCGGTAAAGTACTTCAGAGTGAGGAATATGAGGAAGTAGAGGACAAAACAGTTATGGCCATGGGCATCTTGCACACAATTGACACTATCCTGACAGTTGTGGAAGATCACAAGGAGGTGAGATTTTCTTTTATACGTCTTTTCTCCTGCTGTTCCCTCATGCCTTTCATTCATGGCAACAAGCACTTCTATATACGTTGCATCACTTGAGTTGACATGAATGTGCATTTACTATATCAGGATGGTGAATTAGTACCAAGTGATCTCTGAGAAATTTGAATTTAAAGCCCAGTTTACTTTTGTGACTTCTTAATTGTTTAGCTCTCAACTTTGAGGGTATTATATCCTGAGGATAAAATCCTTAGCCCTTATTCTGGTAAACACTTCATCAGGTAATTGTATTACAGACTGTTAAAATAGATTTTAGGGAGAAATATTTTGCATAAGGCTTTTTTTTTACAATAGGGACTCATATTTTGTTGTTTACCCAGCAATTTCTTGGCTAGAATTCCTAGGACTTGGTCTCCCAGATGTGGTGCAATGTTTGTCTACATTTCACATGTTCAGGGAAAAAAGAGATTCTTTCTGCTCATACCACCTGGTCTGACTGAGGTAGGAAGGAGTTCAGTGACTGACCAGAGAGGAAAAGTCGGTCAGTAACTTTAAGCTCAGTTGGTATAAAAGTGCTTTGTCCTATACTGTTCTGCTTCCTTGATTTACAATGAGAATGTTTCATTGCAAGCGTGAAATCTTTTTATGAAACTTATAATTTAAAAAATACATTAATTAAAATAGTAATTATTTTCTTGTAAGACCATTGTGTTCCTTATGATTTCAAACCATCTTTCATTCCTTGCATCTTTTGAAAGCTAAAATGAAATCTGGTAGCTAAGCTGAACATCAGAAATGGCCGTCTGAAGTGGATCTTCAGGTTTTAGCCTAGGAAAACCTGTGGGATTGGGGTGTTTTTGGTATAAACTTAGCAGCTTGTTTTTCTGTTGTGTGGAGTACAAACTAAAATACTGTGCAGAGTGCTCTTCATCTCAGGATCTTAAATCGTTTTAGAAGTGGTATAAATGATACAGAAATGACATATGAGGCTGAAAACTCCTTAGAAATTCCTTTCCCTTTCACCATTAAGCATGGAGAGAGTTTAGGGGTTGATAACTTCTGAGTCAAGTGTCTGAAGGTAAGTGAGTGAATCTGTGGTCACATACTTAATCCCTTTTCTAGAACAAGCCCAGAAAGCCTGACATCCTGCAAGATAATGTCTGTAATGAATGACGTGTGGTAATAACATGAAATGTCTGTATTTTCTGATTGTAATTAGACTTACAATGTGCCCATATAGTTCTCCTCGTAATTTAGTTTAGTTCATAAATGTAGTCTCTCTGTCCAACGTGGCAAGGCTGAATCCTGACTTTAACATAGTTGTATGCTCCCAATTCTGCATCCATTCCTCTTGCTGAGCCTACTCTGGGAAGTTCTCCATAGACCTTAGGCAAAAACATTTCTTGCTTTCTTCCTTTTAACCCATGCTACTTCAAAGATTTTGGACAGAGGCTTTATCTCAAACACTTTGAGTACAGTGTTACTTTACATCCAGACATGACAACATACACAGTTTTTGATAGGATCTGTAGAATAACCATAAAATAAGATTTTTTTTAAAATAAAGAAAAATGCTGTAGGTGACAAGTTTTAAAGCAATACTGTTTATTGAAAATTTGAGTGCTTACATCAGTGAGACCTTACTTCATAATATTGTGATCATTAATGCAGCATTTAAAAAGTGATAAAAGCCTTTTTGCTTTGAAGAACTTCTTAAACTGAGTTAGTCAAATGCATTGATTAAATTATTTAAAAACTTAGAAATACACTAAGCTGCTTTATGTTTTCATTTCAGATAACTCAACAGCTCGAGAGCATTTGTTTACAAATCATTGGCCTCGTTTTGCAGAAACATGTTATAGGTATGTTTTAGAGATAATTTTTAGAAAAACCTTACATGGTTTTACATAAAAAAATTCTTTAATAATTGCAAACAATACTATCTTCCTGAACAGAACTTCATCTTTTTTTGTGTGTGTGTGCTTCTTTAAAGAAGAAAAGACATTAATTTTCAGTTATGATTTGTTTCTCCTGATCTCCTCTTGTACATTAGTCAGGCTGGTTATTGTGTTTTGGAGGTCAGACTCAAAAGCAGAAGATGCAGTTCTGATTATAGTTCTAGCTAGCTGTGTTAAAGAACAACATTTACAATTACATTAGTATTTTAGGGACATGGTCTGCAATCAAATTACTGCTTTATCAGCACCCTGCACTAAAGAGCTACATAGTTTTGTGATAAGGCCATTAAGAAAAAACAAAGGTTGAGAAAATAAAAATATTTGTCAGTAAATCATTTGGAGTGTCTTTTATGTGCTGGTAATACATTTTTCTGGTGTGTATTTATAATGAAAAACTATGCATATCGTAACTACAGCCAACATGAGGCCTGTCTAAAAGAGTCTTTTCCAATATGTATTATTTTACTATGTATTGATTTAGTTACTAACTGCTGTCTTCTAGTTGTTATATGACTCGGGGTTTGGTTTCAGGTTTCAAGGTATTTGCAGGCTAAATTTGCTTTTTAAAGCACCCTACATAAAATTATTTCTCCTTTCCAGAGTTTTACGAAGAAATTCTCTCCTTGGCCTACAGCTTGACATGCCAGATGATTTCACCTCAAATGTGGCAGCTTTTAGGCGTTCTATATGAGGTTTTCCAGCAGGATTGCTTTGAGTACTTTGCAGGTATGATCACTTCCGTTCTATTGACGTTTCCACTGTTTGGGAATTCATCTCTAAAACCCATCTTAATAAGGGTCGCTTCCATTTAGTGTCTTGGTTTAAAATGATCACGTATTTGAGTCATGCCCTGACCGTCTGTTTAGTGTGGGAGTGTAACAGGAGCGTATTTAAGTAGGAGAAGCATGTTCAAATCTGTCAGTGTGATCAGTTATTGTAGGAGGTCCTGAACTCAAAGAAAGCTGAAATATACAAAGTTAATATGAAACTACAAATTAATTAATTTAAATGTAGTCCTATTCTATTTCCTCTTCTGAGAATACACCCTGCATGGTGCACTTTATGAAGAATTCTGCTAGAACAGACTTTTGCAAAGTTTGAATTTCCAGCCATATTCAAGAATCTGAGCTAATGAAACCTATTACAGGACTACAGCCTCACTGACTAGTATTTGCATGGATTAGTTTGTAATTTTTTTCTCTTTTGTTCTCCCTGTTCTGCAGATATGATGCCTCTCTTGCATAATTATGTGACCATTGACACTGATACTTTACTGTCTAATCCAAAGCATTTAGAAATCATTTATGCTATGTGTAAAAAGGTAAGGCTTTTGATTCTTACTGTTCTGCTTATCACTGGTACTTAACAATGAGATTAGCGGAGTGACCTGAACGTGCCAGGTGGTGGCCAGTCATTTCAGAACAAAATGAAGATTGGTCTCGGCTCAGTTCTGAGTACGCATAGCACCTTCACACTTTTCAAGTGACATGCCTTTTAAAAAAATTACATGCACAACTCTGTGTGGGAGAAAGTTGCTGTTCGTCTTGACTCTCTTCTATGAACAGCTATTTTGGTAAGTAGAGGAATTAATGAAGCCTGATTTCCTTGGGTTGTGTATCTTGCGAATGGATTCTCTAGTTGTCAGCTAAGGTGTGAACTCATTTTAAGTTCTTCCTACATTAATAATGTTTCTCTTTTATGCTGATTCTCTCGTGTATAATAAAGTATGAGATCACACTGCAGCCTTTCTCTGATTTTGGGCATTATAGAGTGTTAGGCATCTAGCTACCTGCTTATTTTACAGAAATTGAATGTGTTTGAGAATTCTTCTTCTTTGTCGGGTTTGATTGACACTGACCATAGGGTTGAAATATACTGAGAGGAAGGAAGCAGTCAGTTTCACATGTATGTGCGTATGCATAGAGGGATTGCATACATCTTGTTTTTAATCAGAAACTAGCCTAGAGATAGGACTTCACTTTGCCAGGCTTTTAATCTGCCAGTGTCTATTAGAATTGAAGTCAAAAACCGGAAACAGAATGTGGAAAACATCAATGATTCTTGTAACTAACATTTCCTTTAAAAAAGGGAAAGTGATGACATGCAAAGAATACTGATATTCATAAAGAACTATAGCATTTTTTTCTAAATTGTGAAATTCATCTTCAGCCACTTATCCTTTTTTATGTCCTGTAGAGATGATTTTTTGTGTGTCTTAATTCCTCAAAAAATATAGCATGAATAGATATGTATATGCCACATAGAGGGGTTTTGTTTATGTATGCGGGTATAGGAGCACTTGCTTTCAAAGTTGTCAGTGATTAATACTGATAAACTAAATTGTCATTCTGGTTGTTAGGTATTAACAGGAGATGCAGGAGAAGATGCAGAATGCCATGCAGCCAAACTCCTAGAAGTAATTGTTCTTCAATGCAAAGGACGGGGTATTGACCAGGTGATATATATTGAACAAGTTTTCTCTTTTGCTGGTTTCGAGTGATACATGTGTGATTCCTGAGAAAAGCAGTTGGAATTAGAGAATTTGAGGGAAATGTAAAGTGTAGGAATGAGGAGAAACACAGAAAGAAGTAATTGAGCTGAGGGGAGTTTGTAAGGTTGTTTTTTTTCTTTTTTTTTTTTTTGAGATTAGAGATTAGTGGGCGTGACCAGAAAATGAATACAGACTGAACGATAAGGATGTAGTATGATGTGCAGTATTGTCTTTTTTTGCTTTCTCCTAATAGTATTTCCCTTTTGATGCAAAACACACATTGTTAAAACTATTGTGGCTGAGAGATTAACTATACGTATCCAACTACTGAAGTTGTTTCTCCAAACAATATGAACTTGGTGCTTTTTAATATTTTGAATTACTCAATGCATTTGGAAATGAAGGATTTTTAGCGTGGCTGGATGGTGATTGCTGGGAAAAACATAATCACAATTTTCCAAAGTTTCTTAGAACACACTTTTAGATAGTCTTTTTCCTATTAAGGGCTAAATTCTGGTCTCATGCTTTACATAACGCTCCATCCTAAATTACTTTAATGTGTCATATTTGATGTTGCACAGTGGAATCTATGAACTTCAGTGATAAATTTTCAGTTAATTTTGCTGAAACCAATATAACTTTACTAATGTAAATCTGAGATGTTGAAGATAAAAATGTTCCCTGAAAGATTTTATTTTTAAAAGAAATCTGGAAGGGATTAAAGTGAATTGTATATATTTGCATTGAAATAGTATGTGGTGGAAGGCTTAATTGAGCTCCACAACTCTGTAAATTAACATGGTTGCACACTGAACTGAAACTCATAAACTAAAACATTCATAATGCTTCCCAAATTATTATAAAGTGTAAACCTGCACATTGAAATATATATATAAGTTTATTTCATTGTGTAAAAATTTGTGCATACTTGCTTTTATCTGAATAAACTCATTTCAAACTTTTATAAGACATTTAACATCACACTACATTTATTAGGAAAAACTTTTTTTCTTGCAGATTTAGGTAATTTCATTTTTAATGCCTGTTAGTTTTGAAATTGTTGGATATCTTTATTCAAAGATGAGAATGTCTTTGAGCTCTTTTCTAAATGCTAGAGTCCTTTTATACACACTAGAACAAATTCCACCAAATGGCCCCAAATATTCTCCTCTGTGCTGAGAATAACATTGGCAATTTTTAGCTCAGAGAATAGCTGTTTTGAGGAAGATATATAAGCATGTAATTAGAGGCCTAAAATGCTTTATACTAGGAAGTGAATAGAATGCATTCCTAGGTTGTATCTGGACTTCAGTTAACTCTGGAGATCAATTCTCATAAAAGTATTTTAAACCTTTGTATACTCTGGCAACACGTATAATGGCTGGTTTGGTGGTTTCTTTTTTTCTTTTCTTCTCCTTTATATTTATATATACAGTGTATTCCACTCTTTGTGGAGGCTGTTCTGGAGCGGTTAACTAGAGGAGTTAAAACAAGCGAGCTTCGTACCATGTGTCTTCAGGTTGCCATAGCTGCACTCTACTACAATCCTGACCTACTTCTGCACACCTTAGAGAACATCAGATTTCCACACAATCCTGAGCCCATCACTGCACAGTTCATAAACCAGTGGATGAATGACACAGACTGTTTTCTTGGGCAAGTATTGTGTTTTTTTTCTTTTAAAAGTCCATGTTTTTTATTTTTTTGTTCACTTCTATTTGTATGCCTAGACATGTTGATGAAAGAGTTCTTATCCCTCGGTTAGTCTAAATAACACTAATCCACACCAAGTCTAATTGCTGTGATGCCAGTAAAGGTGACCCGTGTCCATGTAGCTTTTCTGGGTCTGTTGAGCTACGTTGCTGAATTTTCTGTGTTGTGAGGATACAAGGGTACAATGCATACCGTATTTCAGAATTCTTTTAAGTTTCTTAATCACAAACTATCTGCTTCTCCAAGAGATGGTCCAGCATGCATTGAGGGTAGTGTTCAGAGCTGACCAGCAGGATTTCAGCAAGATGTTAACTTTTTTCTGGAACATTGTATATGTATTTTCTGTTCCATATTTTATAAAGTATTTTTAACTGCTCCATTTAATGTTAAAAGCCCATTATTCTGTCTAATGAATCCCACACTCTGATTTTAGTCCCTGCGAGTTGTTCCTGATCGACTTGCACATTTATCATTATGCCATGGATGTACTGACTGTTTAGCATACTCCTGAACTTAAGCTTCATTCCAACCTCCCTTGAACATACGGGTACACTGCACTAGTGTACACTGCACTAGTGTGCACTTGGGCAGGAGCTGAACATTTGTACAGTAGATGAAGGTGGACAAAGCCTGTCATCACAGCTAAGCATGCACTTGGTGCTGGGCAGATGTGAAGTCCAGTGCTTGACAGTTAGTGCTTGCCTCTCAGCTGAGGTGCGGTGTCGGACTGTGAGATTCAAATCCACTTAAGGGCAAAGCAAACAGTCAGATGTAGTTAACAGCTACCTCTCACCTGCCTGCTATGAGTTACGATTTGTCATTGGAGGCTGACATCTGAGGATAGGCTTAGGACGTATCTTCTCTGTGTATGGTCTATGCCAGCAGACTAAGTGAAGTGTCAGTGTCTTAGGAGTCTTGCCATGGATGAGCGTGGGCCAAGACAGGCAGCTCCTGACCCATAGATGCATGCCTTATTTTAGGTTATCATTCTTTTCCTACCTGTTTTTTTTGTTGGTACAGTCTTGTCTTTCCAATTCTAAACAAGTCGCCAAGGGGCTTCTTATAAGATGGTTTCTCCACTCCCCAGTCCTTCAAATAGCTTTTCTCCATACCAATTCTTATTTGAGTTAATTTTCCCTGAACAGAATTATATGTTATCTTGGTATAGCTGCGTTATTGCCTCAGTGTCCTTCTTGAATTTAGAACTGCGTGGTGCATTATAGCACTGTGTTACCTTTTTCATAACTGTAATAAAATAGTGACTTCCAACCAATCAGTGACCAACTGGTATATGCGGGGTTTGCTCTCAGCATGTCCTTTGTAGTATTTTTAAAACACATACCAAATATACATGATAAAAATTGTTTTCCTCCCTCTGTCCTAAGCACACAGTTTAGTGGGATGAGGATAAAAGTGCAGTAGTTTGTAGAATTGCAGCACAGACTACCTTATTTCAGGTCTGTGCGTTAATTCTGTTTTACTAAATGAAAACCACTTGGAAATATAAGAGAAATTGCCTGCTTTGGTGTATACAGGCTTTGTGCGGATTCCCCATTCATGTCTGCATTTGAAGGTATTACCATAGCAGTCTCTCCTTGAAGAAAAAAAAAATTAAAATACCGAATTAAATGGATAAAAAGTGGGGAGAAAAAATCTTAGTCATTGTTACAAAAACGGACAGTTCATAGTATCACAAGCATTCTGACTTCTTCTACCTGCTGTGTATACGAAATGTCTACAGTACATCCTGTATCTTAACATAAATACACATCTTATCCATTAGAGGGGTTACTTGAGTTGGTGACAAAGAAGGCATAGAGGACCCAATGTCCCTCATTTCTTTTGGAATGCCAGTGGCTGAAAAATGGCACCTTTAAGTCTACTTCTCCCACACCTTGTGGTAATATTATTGTTAATTACTAAATTATTTTTATATCTACTGACTTTAGAAAAGAGCAAGACGTTTTAGGATTTCTATGTACCTTTTTTTTTTTTTAATGGCTGAAGCAAAGTTCTTGAGATTCAGCCCTTTGTGCTGTCATTTTTTCTACTGCATATCAAATGCTGAATGCATACAGAGACAGTAGGAAAGAAGGTATTCCCTACAGGTGGTAAAGTTGTCATTCCTTTTTTAAAAGAAGTAAAAAATGAAAGAGATTTATAGCCTTAAACAGTTCATCCTGGAGCATTCAGTGAGAAACTAGTCAGATCCAGAGGGGAAAAATGTTGCAGATCTGACTAGGCTCCAACCTCAAGTACTCCTGTGAGCTACAGCTTAACTTTCAGTTCTTTTGTGTTGTTTTTCAAAAAGCATCAGCTGCTGCAACTACTGTTCAACCAAATTCTTCTTCAGAGCTGAGACAAAAGTTGACAAAGCCTATGAAAATGAAACACGGAGATCATGATGCTAGATTCTCCTCACTGCACTTGAATGGCAGCAGAAGACTAAAATGTATCTCTTTGATCTGCTGCTACCAGCAGTGAAATAAATATCTGTAATATTGCTTAAATCTAAAAATCACTCTTCCTTCAGTGCTGTCTCCTCAGTATGTGGCTTCCAGGTGTAGGGCTTTTGCTCTAGTACTGCTTATCAGGCACTGTAATGTGGTATAAGGGACTTCCTCCCTTTCCCTCAGGACAGCACTTCTTCTAGAAGACCATTTGTTTTAGTAAGGGTAGTGAGGGTCATCATCTGAACAGCAGCCAGATATTCAGAGGCCTAACTGAACAGGAAAAGACAGCAATGCAAACAAAATCTGGCTTTCTTGAAACCCTTCCTTGGGTCCACCCCTGCAGACTTCATCAGTGATGACAGCAGTGGGCACCCTGATTTGTACAGGTGTAAATCTGTGACTTACTGGTAACAGTGGCTCTTCAGGATGCTTTGTCCGCATAAATCTCACACCCCTCTGTCCTTCTGCTCTTGTGAAGTCTTAGTACCCATAGATCCTGCTTTGCCAGCAGTAGGGTTGTGTGTGTCTGCGTGCTCTCAGGCTGGAGCCAATGGTGTTTGCCAAAAGAATGCAGTATTTCTTGAGCAGCACTTGTGATTGCATGAGATGGAATCCATGGGAATAATACATCTTGGGGAGTAAAAGCAGTTACGTTAAGATAAGTAACTGTTCTTCCATGTTATTAAAAATATGGAAACTATTTAAAACTGATTAGAAATTTGGAATATCAAAAATGATCCAGGCAAGGAGAGCTCAGAACTCATTGTAAGACTGTGCATAAATCCAGTATGTCATTGTGGATATTACATATCTGTGGATGTGTGCCCATAATGCCCATGTACCACAGTATGGGGTATTTATTTATTTCTAAATGTTTTCTACAGTAACTTCAAACTGAAAAGCTTTCCACATTTTCCCTGACAGCTGAAATTTGGGTGAGACTTCTGCGTGACTTACGCTTATTCTCATACTAAAAATTCTTCCGTGGAAACAAAGGAAAATCTAACTTGCTTCAAAAAAAAAAAAAAGTGATTTTATTTTTTGAAGCTGAATAGGAGGATGTATTTGATAGGAGTTTAAATAGTTAGAAAACCTAGTTTTCTCAGAGTTGTATATAAAATCCCTGTCTTATAGAGGAAAACAGGGTTGGCTCCAACTCTGCAACTAGAAGGAAATGGCTAATTATTTGCAGTTTGTCCAGGAACTGGATTGATGTAATAGAAAGCAACTTGATCCTCACACAAAGGAGCACAGCAAACCAGTAAAGGAAAGGCTTAGTGATTTCCCTTTGAAATACTTTCAGCTTGGTTTAAAATACAAAAGATTCCTAGATCTTTTTGTCCTGTATTGGAAGGAAGTGTATTAGCAAGAAAAGGTCCTGCAGATTATGAAGACCACACGCAGCTTGTTAAAAATAGACTTGCCTAGGAGTCGTGCATTGCACAGCCATGTGTTGCACGTTTAGCACTCCAGGCTTGACATACCATTGAGGGAACAAGCAGAGTCCATGGTTGTTAGGGAGGACTATTGTGTGCTGCTGAGCAAATAAGTATGGATCTCAAAGCACAAAGCACTAAGGAGAATCGTATCCAGGCTCCCTCGTGCAGACGGAAAGGTGCTGAAATAATGAGCCTTTTGATAACAAAGGAATGGTCCTGAAACCATTCTTTGCCATTACAAAAATATGTAAATAGCATAAAACTGTGTTTTGCTTGTTTGGTCCTGTGGGTACTTGGTACAGCTGGGGCATAGTAGAATGCTGAACTTCAGGCAAGGCAGATGCTTATCCTGCTGCTTGTCTCTGCTGGCAGGTGGAAGAAACAAGTCTCCTGGCTCAGGTTCACTCAAGATGGCTCGATGCCTGGATTTCTGCTGTCCTGCTGGGCTTTCTAATAACATGCATATTCTGAAGACATGTGTTCATTCTTACAACTTCTCTGTTTAGAAGTTTGAAAATGGAGCATGACAAATATGCTGTATTTTTTTGCCATTTGGGCTGCCTCTTAATGATGACTCCCTTTTAAAAAGCAATGCTCGACTCTTGCACTTTCATTTGCTGTCTAAAAAAGATAATGTAGTATGAAGCTAAGCTACTAAGATTTTTTTTACATTTTACTGTGTTGTATTTTGCAATTGGCATTGTGTAACAGTAGCTTTTTCAAATGTATTATAAAAGGTAGTGCCAAGTGTCATTAACTACTCTGGCACATGTACGCTGAAATTTCTTCATTATACATTTGGGGCTTGAAGAATTTTCATGGCTTCCCAGTGTCAAGATGGAGGATAGAAGTCTTGTGCATAGATTATAGAGCTCTGGTCAAACTTGGATGAAGGTGCTGGCAGAGAGAGGAGGTGGAGAAAGTTCTTTCCTTTTGTACTTGCAGTAAGGACAAGTCTCCCAAAAAAGCTATGCTTCATTCATAGCTAGCATCGTTTTTAGCTTGGATTTTGGTCTTCACAGTGTTGGCATAAGAGCAAATGGCGATGAGCTTGTTTTCAACACTGATAAACTGACAGGAGTGAGGGTTGGGGTTGTTTTTTTTTGTGAAAGCGGACCCTGTTCCCCTCAGTTTCCTTGGATGATTTGTATGCCCTCTTTTGGGCCCCATTCCTTCTGAAAAGAAAGTATTGCAGTTAGCAGTGATGGAAGGACTGGCATTTTGGTACATTTTTCAACACGTGTAATGGAGCAGCCAAACCCAACGTGACAAAGCGTCTCATTTGATACGCTAGTTGACTTTGTTTTTCTTGGAAGGTGTTCTGTGATCATAATGTTACACGTGGTCATATATAATTTATCGTTGTTGTCAACTACTCTTGAGAATGGAATCACTTCACTAAGCCCTAACAGGACTAACAATGTGGGAGGTGTAATGAAATCCCCCCAGATTCCCAGCCTTCTTTAAGCACGTGTAAAGTTCAGAAAGCTGTAATACATGATCACTTGTATTACTTAAAGAATATTACAGTTCAGTGGCACGTTATATGGCATCTTTGGTAATGAAATTGTAAGCACTTTTGAAATTGTATTTCTGTAGCAATTTTTGAAGTGGTGGATTGAGCTGGCTGTTCCCCTGTAAGCTTTATTGCAGTCTGTGGTACACATCTTATTAGCGTCTTCTCTCTCAACTTGTATCCTCTTCATTCCAAAGTAAAACTGATTCAGTAACAGAAGTATCTACTGAGAGTCTGGAGGATGGCCATTTTCTGCCAGCTCTGGAGGTTTGCTTGGTTTCTGTAGGTCTTGCTGAAACTTCTTGCTGGAACTACTTGTCCTGCAGAAGGCTTGCACAGAAGGTGTCAGCATCAAATTGAATTGTTCAAATAAAACAAGCTCCTCTCAAGCCTTTAATAGCAAAATACCATAATGTTAGACAAGAGTTGAATACTACTGGTGTTTCCAGTAAAGGAGAACCAAAGAGTATCTGCAGAGGCAGTTAGAAAATTTTCCCTGTCTTGTTTGCAAGAGACCTGTATTTCTGGAAGTGAAAATCAATTCTTATTTTTAAGAGCATAGGCTTTTACCTAGTTTCCTGGCTATGGTCACATAAAAATCTCCCTGCTACTAATAAAATGATCTTCTTTCCCTTCAATTATCTATAGTTCGTTTGTTTTACTGGAGGTCTACTCATCTGCAAGTTCCCTGTTTGAGTGTACTGCCAGTTATTCTTGATACTGGAATCGTTTCCCTGCTTTCACTGAATTTAGCAATGTGTCTCAAGTTAGTGTTGGAAATTGGACATATAATACAGCCATTCTGATGAAATTTTAATAAACATGTTTAAATACAGCTAGCCCTGTGGCACTCATAAATGCACCATGCAATTCAGTGCATTCCTACTTATCATTACTCTTCACTAACAGTCTTTTTGCTAATTTCAATCCCTGCAACAGTACTGCTATCGAAGCCAAGGCAAATTAATTTTCCATCCTATTTAATGATGATAATCAGTATCAAATGCTTTATTACAGACAAGATATTCTACATAATTATTAAACAGTATTTATTTAGCATTACAAACTTTGCATTTGGTAATCAGAAGCAGTTGTTCCAGGAATTTGACCAGTGCTTCAAAGGTATTTAATTGTTATTGGATAAGTACTTTCCAGTGGGGAACTTGCATTCAGAACAAAGGAAAGAATGTGTTTAGGAGCTTTGAACATAGACTTTGAACATAGTCTCTGTGACATTGTCTTCTGCCATGTCAAGCACCAGGAATTTAATGCTCTCTACATATCCTTGCAGTGAAAATCTGGTTTTTGTCTAACGTGTGTGTTGTTTCAGACTCCATGACAGAAAGATGTGTATAATAGGACTGAGCATCCTAATGGAATTACAGAACCGACCACCTGCAGTGGATGCTGTGGCTGCCCAGATTGTCCCTTCAATCCTCCTCCTCTTCCTGGGCTTAAAACAAGTTTGCGCCTCACGAGAACTCACAGAACATGAGGATCATGCTAAAGATGAAAAACACGTTGCAGAAGATAATGGTAAAATCTCCCCTTTTCACATTGTGGATTTTGTCTGGATTTAATTTAAAGGGGGTAAGAAATTGCAGTTCATTTTTAAGACTCATTAGTCTGCTGAAAATAGCTCGGCTTACTGGGTGCTTGAGAGATCATCTTAGGAATTGATTTTTCCTCCCAAAATGTAATCAAAACATTTCAATGTGTTAGAGCTAACACTTTGTGAAAGGGTAGTATTAGTTTAAGAGTAATAACAAAACTTGCAAGTCCACTTTCTGGGTTGTGAATCTGCTCTGTCTTCTCACATAGGCAGCAGGAGTTTGCCAGGACTGCACTGGTTATATTCTTGATTCCTGGAAAGAAGCTGTTCCCAGTACCCAACTATTTGAAAGACCTGTTTGGTTGAACTTTGAAGGAAATCCTAGCAAGTCTTCTTTGTCCAAATGGAAAGTGATTTGCAAAGTGGGGTTTGAGACAGCTGAGGTTCCTGGAGCAGACAGACCTCTTACTGCTGTGTCTGCCAGAAGAGAAAAAATATCAAAGAATACCTTGTGGAGGGAATTGTGGAGAGTGAATTTTACACAGCATTGCAGGCAGATATGTGTGGCTGTATTTGACTTGGAACAGGAGATCGATGGTTTGAGGTCTGAAAATTAGATTGGATGTAAGCAGATTATGTAATCCACTCAAATTTCATACATGATTGTTCTGTAATGGAATTACAGAATTCTTCTCAATGCATAGGGATAGAATATGGAAACAGCATGGTAATTTTCAGATCTCTGTCCTGTGATTCAGTCCCTGCTTGTTGCAGATATAGTCATCTTTATTCTTTCTAAACTGCTAACACAGAAAGAGCTGAAGTTTTGGAATTGGAGGGGGATTTTTTTAATCTTGATTTTAAGTCAGAAATATTTTTCCTTACGTGGGAAGTAGCAGTGTTTAGAATTGCATGTTGGAGTTGCATTTAATTCAGGATGTAATGGTTCTTTCATAAGCGGAATGGAAGGTAAAGCTAAGTGAAAGATGCTAATTTGTTTGTTCAAATAAAGGAGCACTGTGAAGAATAGCAGGCAGACATTTGGCCTACGTCTGGTTTTCTCTTCGTTTTGTGTCAATTTGTGAAGTCTATGCAAGTCTCTTATTTGTTTGTAATTTAAAAAGCACAGTGATGGAAGACTTTGTCAAAGACACATTTCCTCAAAATTTTTGGATCCTTTTTGCAAATTGCACAATGACTGCATAAATGAAAGAAGAAAAAAGATGGCAGTTTCACATTCCCCTGGTGGGCTTAGAAACAAAAATTGAACTGATTTTGAATGTAGGCAACATTTTAACAGCTTCATTTTTCCAATTCTTCTAAGATTTTGGGGGAAGGGTGTTAACAGAGGGTCCCCTTTCCAGCCAAAACCTAGATTTATTGATTGTTCTTCATTCATGAGTCATTGTTTCCTTATACTTTTTCTTTGTTTTGTAAAACACATCAATGGTTTTGCAGAAGAGATACCGAGTGATGAGGAGGAGACAAATGAAGTGAGCCAGGCGATGCAAGAGAACCATGGTGGTGGAGGAGGAGGAGGAGGAGGAGGCGGTGGTGGTGGAGGTGGAGAGGAAGAGGATGAAGATGATGATGATGATGACTGGGATGAAGATGCATTGGAAGAGACTGCTCTTGAAGGGTTTAGCACACCTCTTGACCTTGAAAATGGTGTTGATGAATACCAGTTTTTTACACAAGCACTTTTAGGTATGTGTTTGCTAGTTGGCAGAATGATATAACATGATGAAATAGTTTGGAGATGTTTATAATCATCACTGGGAAAAACTCTTTTCTTTGTTACAAGTAACAAATTTAGATTACTGAAACTGGAAAATGTGATCTTGCTTTCTAATGTTAGTCCTGAGATTTTTTGGCTTACAAGTACTGTAAAAAAACAATGGTAGCAAATACCACCAAAGATTAATTTGCTTCGTGATCTCGTTCAGAACTTTTCAATCACAGCCTAAATAAGTGGGACTCAGTCACTAGAGGGACTCCTATATATAGAAATATTTGTCACTTTCTAGATGTTAAAATCACAATGGAGGAATTATTTTCTCCCTTTCCTGTTTGACTAATCCTGTTGCTTTTAGTTTTGATAAGAGTTTTAAATTAGAAGATTCACCTGAATCCATAAATAACGGCCACATGGTTAACTTTCTGTTTCAGAAAGCAGAGGATGTAGTTAAGTTCCCCAAAATGGATTGCCTCTATTAAAGTGGGGATTCTGTGCTAAGAAAACTGACTGGAATACTGAACCTGTTTTGCAGTGCAAATTCTGTTTTAAAACCAAGGATTCCGTATGTTTCATTTTCTTCTGACATCAACTTGCAACGTAACCTGATAATCGCTTTTCATCCATTCCTGTTCTGACAGCGGTGCAGAGCCGAGATGCAGCCTGGTACCATTCGCTGACAGCACCGTTGAGTGAGGATCAGAAGAAACAGCTGCAGGAAATTTATACATTAGCAGAACACCGGCGAAATGCTGCAGGTGAGTCACTTCTCTGGGGCCATTTTATCTGTTGCAGGGATGTTGGAACTGCATCTAATCTGTAACAACAGAGAGAATAAATCTCTGTGCTAATTAACATTTCCTGACAAGCGTGAGTAGGATATTGTCCTTAGATTATCCCTTGCCTGGAAGTGTGTGTTATTCAGAGAGATTACTGTTGCTTCTAATTAATTGCTTTCTCATTGACATGTGCTGCTGTCTGAACAGGGTACAAACTAGTTTTGCACAATCTGACATTTGAAGTGAAGAGCAAATTAAGGCAATATCTAGCTGTCAGCCAGGCATTTGATGAAGATTACTATGGATTATTATGTGTTTAACAGTTTTGTAACTTTTTAACTGCTAACGTTGCCTTCACAGTCAGTGTAAGGTTTTAGATGTTTAGAAAGCTTTCATTGTGCGGAATAAATTCAGATTTAGTCAGAAAGCATGCAGAATAGTGTAACATAGACTGATTCTGTAGAGGATTAATTTCTCAGCTCTGTTGTAGAGGTGTGTGCGTTTGTGCAGTTAGAGACAATCTGAGTGGTAATTTATTACTGTCACTGCATTTAGGGAATGAAATTTTGACTCAACCGAGAGTTTTTTCCACAACTTTGCATTTTTAGCTGAGCTGTATTGTCTCTGGCAAAAGCATTCTCTGTAGACTATTTTTCATATCCTTTTCCTTCTTTGAATTGTAGAGACTAAGACAATAGAACAACAAAGTGGCTACACATTTGACAACAAAGGACTGATCACAGCATTTAACTTTGCTGGAAGTACTCCTGGTGGCAACTGAAGGATCAGCTACAAAGGTCAATGGGAAGGGTCTCATCGCTACATTTTCTTGAAATCATCATGACTTCTGAGTGATAGGGGAGGGTAATTTAATGCTGCTGAAGGTTTTCTGGAAAATAGCAGTGTGCTTCCCCCACCAGAATGCTCTTTCTAACCAGCTACTGTAATGTACAAATTCTGTGGTGTTTTTATAATTTGATGGACTGAAAGGAAACATTTGTCCTCAAGGAACCTGAATGACTGGGAGGGGCCGGGCTGCATCTAATTGAGTTGCACTTCTCAGGTTTTTGCTGTGCAGAATTGATAGATTCATATGGATAACAGTGCCTTCTGTTGTACATGGATTGCCTGAACAAATGGATTTTGGAGTGCATTATAATTTTTTAAGTGTAAGGACATTTCTTGATACACTGTAAGCCTTGGTTCCATGTTTTCCAGTCACCTGCTTTTTACTACTTGGTTTAATTGTTCGTTGGTTGCATACACGTTGCCGGATTCAGAATATTATCTCATCTTCCCTATTTGGTGCAGACCAAATGTGTAGAGGGAGGTGTCTGTTGGAGTTGCAAAGCATACACTGGTTACGTCAAAGGGTCTTAACAAAATTGCAGATTTTCCCTTGATGCAGCAGTCTTAAATTATTTCTCTTAGCCGTGAAATCAACTCACTTGAGTTATGATGGCACGCATGGCAGGAGGTTACCCTAAATCTACACTGATATTACCTCCTGCCTGGGCAAGTGGTGTGGCCCTCGCATGTAGATGTTCTACGTGACAACTTTTTATTTCCACTATTTTTGATGAATATTGTATTTTACAAACCTCTTTTTGGTTTTTATTCATTCATTGCCATTCCAGTGGTAGTACTGAATAATGTGGTACAAAATATTTACAATATTTTATTTATCTTGATAGAAAAAAAACAGCTTGAAATTTATTTCTTCTTCCTCTTACACTTCTGTGATTGAATTTCTGGTCTGCCTTCCATGTGGCTATTCTTGTCCCATGCTGAAACTTCATTATCTGCCAGACTTTTTCCTAAATTTCAAAGACTGGTTTCTCATAAATTGAAACACATATAACCAGGTGTTTGTGAATATGTTCATTTAGTGAGAAACTGATAGCAGTACTAATTTGAATAGGTGCCCCTCCTTTAGATCTATTGAGATCGCAGTGGTGTAGCCAAGATAAGTAGGGGTGCTTTAGAATGTGAAGTTTGGATTGGAGATAAAATGTTTAGACCAGATTTTGTCTCTATGTGTTAATTTCTTTATGACTTAAAAATATTTACTGAGCAATTTTAAGCACATACTCATAATGTATTTCTTCAGAGCCATGCCCCAACTGAAAAGTCAAAGCCCTTCCCATACCCCATCAAATTTTCAACAACTGTAGCGAGTTACAGGTTGCTGGCCCTGCACTGTGCTGAAGCTTTCATTTTTTATTTGTCAGAGTAATTATAGTTCAGGCTGATAAATCTGAAGCGCTCTATGCCTTGGTTTCTGGAAAAGGCCAAAGTGTCTCTGCCTGTTCCTTGCCCCATCGACTGGAATTTTCTCAGCCTGGCAGCTGTGGAGCAGAAGGTTCCCTGCTGCTTTCCTTTTTCCTGCAATTTTGTGTCAGAGTCTCTCTGGTGCTGTTCTCTGCTGCTGCTGCTCCCCGCCCCC